CCCCACCACCACCACCACCACCAGCCCCCCACCGGGGGCTCCTGATCCCTGCGTGCAGCAGATGCAGTGGGGTGTAAGTGGCCTTTCACACCTTGATGCACGCAAGAACGAAGCCCTGTCAAGGTGTTCAGCTGTGGGCAGGTGATTGAGGGAGAAAGAGGTCTGTTAGTGACGATGGAACAAATAGATACCCACATTATTATCTCTGTTGATACACAATAATACATAGTACATATTTATATGTATGGTTAGGTGTGTATATATGCATATAAATATGTATATATACACATCTCTCTCTCTCTCTCAGTCGTCTCTATAATATATATATATATATATATTATAGAGAGAGAGTATGTCTTTGGATACCAGTGAAAGCCAAACTTAACACTTCTTGCTGACACTTTTATGTGACATCTTAGAACTTTTTCATGTTCTGCTATCAAACCATTTTGCAACACAGTCATCACTTTCAATCTAGTTCAGCCCCTTTGAAAGACACTTCTCCGTGTGAGAAAGAAGAGGAGGAAGCCTTTACACCGCTCTAAGTAAAAGCTCATTATTATCTGGGTTTTTTTTTTCTGTGCTGAACTGCGTTTCACCAAAGAGCTTCTGGGCTGACTGGTGTTTTTACACAAAGAACTGATCAAATCAAGAATGTTTTTCACAGTGATGAAGCCTTTCCTCTACTTTATGATTAGCACTTTCTTCCAATTGTGTATTTAAATTTTTAGGAAGTGAAAAGACATCTTTTTATAAATGACATGCTCCATTAACTCTATGCATTTAGATGAAGATAAAATCAAATTTAAAGAGTTTACCAATTTAAAATGCATTCCGCAATAAATAAACACTCATTATTTGCTTGACCAGATGGGTCAAGGAAATTTGTCATCATGGTCACACAGTAATTGCTAAGGGCAGAAAGAGCGAGAAGCTAATGGTTCCAGAGCAATTAGAATAAAAAAGTTCAGAGATGTGAACTTGTGTTTAAGCATCACAATGTGTTCTTCATGGTCAGGCTTTTTGTAAAACTAACCCAAACCAGACTGGAAAGTAAGAAGCTGCAAGACATAGCTTCAACTCCATAGCAAAGCCATTTGAACTCTATTTCTGTTTCCCATGCTCTACCATACTTATTAAAAAAAATCGTAAATCTAAAAAGATTAACTTTGTTTTCTTGTGTGCTGTTCAAAAAGAGCTAAGACATCAGTATGCAAAAACAAAAGTACAATCTTAAGCATTTATGCAAAATGAAAAATGGGGGAAAATGAATTTCTGAAACCCTTGTAGCTTGTCCATTTACCATTTGGAAACATATCTGTACTTTTCAGGACCCTTAAAAGTACAAATATGTGTCTTGGGGTCCAGTTTTTAGCACCATGGAGTAGAAAAAGCCAAGAAAGTTCCTCAGGAGACATGGCTGTACTCCTTTGTGCTGTTCTGCTGAGGGTCAATGGTTGGATAAGTACTTTCAACCCTGAAAACACATTGAATCCCCAACCCACAACAAGTGCTCGTGTCGGCTTCTTTTGTCTCACAGTCGTCTTTAAACGTTATGATTCAACTTAGTTTGCTTAAACGTTTGATCAATTTGCCTCCAGGACCAGTTTAATTCCTGTAACATGATCTGGCCGGAGCCGAAGGACGTGTGGTCAACAGCCTTCATCATCTACACCTCCACGGTGGGCTTCTTCGGGCCGCTGCTCATCATCTGCCTCTGCTACCTGCTCATCGTGGTCAAGGTGAGAGTTCGTGTTTGTGGGTGTAACATAAACTGATGGCAGGTAATGATGAGTGAATGATGACTGGATCAATTCATCCTTCTCCCTCAGTCAGCAAAGGGATTGCCGTCATCTTCTCCATGTCCCCATCATGGTCACCATTGATATTGTAGCATCTGAAGTTCACAGTTAGGCACAGACTAAAACATAAACGTTTGAAAAAACATATTCCTAAAGTGGGCAGGATGGTGGTGTGGTGGTTAGCACTGTCGCCTCCCAGCAAGAGGGTTCTGGGTTGGAGTCCCGGGGGAACCAGGACCAGAAGGTTCTGGGTTGGAGTCCCGGGGGAACCAGGACCTTTCTGGGTGGAGTCTGCATGTTCTCCTGTGTCTGTGGGTTCTCTCCGGGTTCTCCGGCTTCCTCCCACCCTCCAAAAACCTGCACGTTAGGTTGGTTGGACTCCAAACTGCCTTTAGTGTGAGTGTGTGTGGTTGTTGGTCCTTGTGTGTCTCTGTGTGACCCTGTGATGGACTGGGGACCGTCCAGGGTGACCCCGCCTCTCGCCCGTTGACCACTGGGATACAGTTCCACCCGCGACCCCATCAGGGAATAAGGGGTAATGATAATGGATGGATGGATGGATATTCCTAAAGTAGAATGTAGGGAGGATGCTCAAGCTATGGATGAAATATGGAGACGGCCTGGTAGAAGACAAAAAATGGATGGACTGGGGACCGTCCAGGGTGACCCCGCCTCTCGCCCATTGACCACTGTGATAGGCTCCAGTTAACCCTGTGTGAATAAATGGTAATGATAAAGGATGGATGGAAAAAACTACCTCGATGAAAAAAGCCTGACATAAGACAAAAAGTACAGATACGGGATGACCAGATATAAGGGCAGGAACAGAGTTTTCTCTGAGACCTCTCCAGAATCTTAACCTCTGACTGGGACCTGGCCGACAGTAAAACCCTCTTTTGTTCCACCAAGTTCTGCCTCAGCAGAGTTTTTCCTGCAGCAGCTACTTGAAGACGACCATCCCATAACTCACCACTGATGTAATAGCCGTTTGTCAAACAAACTTTTAACGAAAATTAAATTAAACTTAAAATAAAACAAACGGCAACTTCTGGCACCCTGGGCAGGTATCGTACGCAGGCAAGAAAATGGTTCCACGCAGAATTGTCCTTTAGGCAGTTTATTGCTGTTTCAGGTGAGCAAACAATCTCTTGCGCTGGTAAAAAAACATGTGTCCACTACCCAGGTGCATACAGGTGTGTGCCACTTCCTACCTATATCCACCCTTACCTGTGCTCACCACTACCCCCAGGTGTCTAAAACCAAATACTACAATTAATACATTTACCAAATAAAGACTAAACATAAAGCAAAGCAATTAACTAGACGAATTACAAAAAGAATAGTACGAAAATATGAAACTATCACGAATGTAAACAAATTCATAATAAACCAACAAATCAACAGAATTACCACTACTCAAAGTAAAAGTGCAAGATGGCTCCCGCCCCTGAACTCCTCCGCTGGTCCTCCTTATCCAGGTGAAGTCCTCGGGGGCGCGGGTGGGCTTCGCCAAACGGCGGCGCTCGGAGCGGAAGGTGACGCGGATGGTGGTGGTGATCGTGGTGGTGTTCGTGCTCTGCTGGCTGCCCTTCTTCATCATCAACATGGTCAACCTGGTGGTCATCATCCCCGAGTCCAGCACCACCGCCGGGATCTACTTCTTCGCCGTCATCCTGTCGTACGCCAACTCCTGCGCCAACCCGCTGCTCTACGGATTCCTGTCCGACAACTTCAAGCAGAGCTTCAGAAAGGTGGGAGGAAGGTTTCTAATTCTGCACCAGTGAGGCTTTAAAGTTATCAAGAAACTTGTATGCAACTTGTTCTCAGTGTTTCTGCGTTTGATGTTAAAACAGAGCAAATCACCACTCGATTTTCATTCTTAAATTGAGATCTTTGCGGCTGTCTGTAACCATAATTATTCCCATTTGGCCCATCTGTGTGCAATTCAGCATCACATGATCTTAGTGTGCAAACACCTGCTGTGCAAAATAAGAATTTAAAACAACCAGAGCATTGTTAAATCCTTCATTAGAAAATTGTTAATAAACCTGCAACATAACATACCTGCAGGCATCACCAAAAACTCACAGTGCAAAACACTGGCCAAGCTGTAAATTCCCTAAAACTGGGTTTTGGCAAGATAATTAAACAAATAAATAAAAACACAGAGAAATTTACTCAAAGGCATTTAAGGGACTTTACAGATATGTGGAGCAAATGTTTATGGAACAAGGAAAACAGTTAATGTGGCACAACTCCAACACTAAGTCCAAAATTTGAGCATGGGGGTGGCAGCATCATGCTGTGGTGACGTTTGTTCAGCAGAAACAGTTGTGGAAGTATGGGAAAATGTAATATGTAAAGTAGCCCTAATTATGGCAATCTTACATAAAATTAACTTATTTCAAAAGTGATAGAGGATGTTTTTTGGAGGGTCGAATTCAGAATCTTTCAACCACAACTATGTTCCCACCTTATAAAATGTATGTTCACCATATATATATAGCGTGGATATAAATTTTATAAGGTGGGGAGTCACTTTTAAATGACTTAGATATATGTATATACTCATCATGTGTTTCATTCATCATGTGTCTGATCAAATCAATTTAAATGTATACAAATGTATTACTTTTTCTTCCTTAGAGCAATAGTGATAAAATCCATATTTTTATTTGAAAAACAACAAAATAACACAGCATGTTTAAAGTATGAACATTTTAAAAATCTGATGGTGTAACGCCAAGTTGTTTTCAGCAAAAACCTAAAACAAGTGGCAGTCCAGGCTGGTTTTCTCCAGGCTTTTACAGCAGACCTTACAGGGTCGAGCTTTCAGAAATCACCTGTTTTTTGACAGGTTGTGTGTTCACCTGAATGACACCAGATTGGGTAAAACAGTTTTCCACTGAAGTTTGAAATGTCTCACTTCAATAAAAAGGCATTTATCAGCAGAATTCAGCAAAGGGATTGTTGTTTTCTCCCATCAGACATCAGACTGGTAGAGATGGAGTGCGTTGGTGTTATAAAAATAGATTTTTCAGTAATAACTACCTGTCAGAGTCTCTGTCAATCCACCATCTCAGCCCCATTATCACTGGTATACAATACAGATTACACTAAAGATCTGAATGTATATGTTACTATTTTTGCTGTTTGTAATAACAGTGAAGTCTGGAGCTTTATAGAGCAACGGGTGTGAGATAGGGATCCACAGCCTGTGCCAAAAAACAACCCACAGGCAACCAGCAAATAATTTTTGTTCTTCAACAACTAATGTAATCTGTGCAGGTTCAAGGCCACAGGTGGTTTCATTTGGCTGGTTTTAAACCGTGAGGATGGCTCTGGAATGAAAAATGCCTCATTTGTGAATTTAAAAATGTTCTGGTTGATGAAAAAATCTCCACTGAAATGTTTTTCATGGGCACAAGCAGCTCTCTGCCTCATGTTTTTATACAAATATTCACCTTTCACCTCGTAAATAGAAAACTTGGTTTTAAAATCTGTACAGGAGCTCATCCAGTTACTGCCAATGAATATCTATGGAAACAAATGTCCTGGAACATAAATAATCACATTTATCCTTTCCAAGAAAAAATATGTTTTAACGTGTTTAGCAAATGAAACAAAAGAGGAAAACAAAAATGGTGTGACTTGACACAGAAAAGTTACCCCCGGTAACCCCCAAGATGGTGGAACGACCTACCAGGAGCTACAAGAATAGCACCTTTTAATCTTTAAGAAACTCTTAACCCTTTAAAGCCTGATCCAAGAAAAATACGAAGAATATTGGATTTTTTTAGTCTGAAGTCTTTCTTTGGCCCCTTAACAACATATGAAGAAAAAAAAAACTGAAATTATTTTGATCAAATTAGCGTGCAATAAGTCAAAAATATATTTTGGTGTAGTCTTCTACTGGCTGTTATCAGGTATATCTGAATGTGTACAACAGGGGTTTGAGCAAAGCTTTTACCATTGAATGATGCAAAAGTCTCAGATCCAAAAGACTTCAGAAACCGTATCAAATATGACACATCTGGCATTATAGGGTTAAAAACCCACCTCTCCACAGAGAATATCTTATCCCGACTCTTCCCCAGACCTCTGGACCCTCTACTCCTTTTTCTGAGCTTCCTTCTCTCTCTATTACTGCCTCCACTGACTCTGACTGGGGATTTTCCTCTAAAGAACTGATTGTCATGTTGATGTTGACTGTAAAATTGTGTCTACTTTGTAAGTCCCTTTGGATAAAAGCGTCTAAATGCATAAACAGAAACTCACTCCAGCTAGTAGTGAACCTGAAAGGGTTTTAACTTTGTAAAGAAGCTGGATAAGATTCAAAAGATGTTCTGATGAGCCATTTCTGTTTCATTCTCTCTTTGCTGTCTCCACTGACTCTGACTGGGGATTTTCCTCTGGAGAACTGATTGTCATATTGATGATAGCTGGAAAATTGTGTCTACTTTATAAGTCGCTTTGGATAAACATGATAAACAGAAACATGATAAACATGACAATAACTGGTGCTGATCAGAGGAATGTTTCCTGGTTTTGGTTTGAGTGTTGGTTTTGGTTTGTGACCCTGCAGGTTCTGTGTGTGAGGAGTCTGAGGTGTGCTGCTAACGGGGTGGACGATGGAGACCCCAGTGCCCCCCGCACCGAGAAAACCACGGCTCAGGACTGCATCCTGCTCTCGCCCCGCAACGAGGTCTACCAGGACCCCCAGAGCAGCCAGGTAACAACCACGGGGGGGTAGACTCTTCCAGTCGTGCCCAGATCTGCATCATGTGTGACTCAGGTTCTCATTAGTCAGCCAGTCGGTGTGAGAGTTCATGCGTGGTGATTGAGGAAGGAGGGATGATAAAGCTGTTTTGCGGAGGGATTCGAAAAAAATGTTGTTCTGAAAGATTCCACACAGCTTTCAGGCAGAAAGACGTTTTCACTCAGCCTAAAAATGTACACGTGTATTTCCAAATAAACGAGAGACCCACCGACAAAAGGACTCAGATTAGACTCCAATTATGCTCAATTATGTTTGTTAAAATGAATCTTTACTCCATAAATCAGTGTTAGAGACTATGTTTGGGCTTAATTACTGATGTATGGATCTGGGCCTGTTCTCTTGGCATAAGTCCAGCTTCAGAAATTACACCTGCTTCTATAAGTTTGCAGCCAGTTAAAAAATATCTTGACGAGAACCAAAAAAAAGAAAAATAAAGACAGTTTGCAGAATCAAACCATTAAATTATAGCCATTTGGATTAAATGTATAGGAATAGCTGGTCAAAGTACAATAAAGAGCAGCTTTCTGCTGCCTTTCTATCCAAAGCGTGTATTTTAAACCGCTCATTTGTTTTATTTAAAGCTGTGTCAAAAAAAAAGTTAGCATGATGTTTTTTAGGACTTAGGAAAAAAATAGGTTTGTAATAATATCAGGATTAAAATCCTGTTGGGCCAGTAGTGTGGTCATTAGACAAAGGGATGACTGGAGACTAATCTGGTTAGTAACAAGTAGTGACACAGTCAATATGCTGAAAGGAGCTCTGACAGTGGGTGATGATGGACTGTTACCCCCCCCCCCCCCGCCCCCCGGTATATTTAAGGTGTGACCGTGTGTCCCAGACCTGTGAAAAAAAGAGGCCACAAAATGCCAACACGTTCACATTTTAGTTAATTTGTGCAAATGAGATAAAAATATGCCACAATCATCACAAGTGAGACACTTTTTGTTGAATAATTCTTTACTTTACTGAGAACAAGTCGACATATTTCTTTTGAAGTGGGATTTTATTCTTTGTGGTGAAATAAAATGAAACTACAGGATTTAATTGGATCCTGTGTATCTCGTTAGTCTCCATCCCTCAGTGGAGCTGAAACACATAAAGTGGCCCCTTTGAGAGTTCTTTCATCGTTATTATATATATTCATAATGTTTATTGGCAATATTCGCATCTTTCTGGGTGTTTTATGTGTCAGCCATGAGGTCCTACAGGACAGATTTTGGTTAGGGGAGAAAAAGCTATGGAACGACGATGCAAACACACTTTCAACAAGAGAAAATAAAAACAAAACAAAAAACTAAATGTTACCACGAACAGTCATTAATTAAGTCTTGTTCAAGAGTCAAAGTTTTCAAAGTCACTACTCAGATTCGGCTGGGAAGACTCAAGTGTTTTGGGTTAATTACCTATTTTTAATTTGTTCAGCCGAACTCCACAGTGAAAACTAGACTAAAAGCAGCAGTTCTTTGGAGCTGCAAGAAGAGTAAGATACATTTTTAAAACATCTAACCTGGAAAATCAGAAATGTTTGGTGTATATATTTAGTTTTTGCTATACTCATTGAGTCCTTCTTATGCAAATGTTTTCTCAGTAGAGCGTTGCATTGAAAAAAAAAAAAGAATTCAGTCAAAAACTCTCACCCTGAACATCCATCCATCCATTTTCGTAACCGTTTATTCCCTAATGGGGTTTCGAGGGGACACACAGAGACACACAAGGACCAACAACCACACACACTCACACTAAGGGCAGGTTTTTGGACGGTGGGAGGAAGCCGGAGAACCCGGAGAGAACCCACAGACACAGGAGAACATGGACGTTCCCTCGGGGAAAAATGAAGACCTCAATATAGAAACACAAAAACTGCTGACTCATGTTGAGCCCAAAGCCAAAGTTTCCAGGTTATTCTGGTAAGATCACCATGGTAACATAATATATATTGTGGACATGGCCTCCAGTTTCGTGTAAGATCGTATAGAAAATGTTTCCGTGGGTTTCAAAAAGCAATGACGCCCGGAAAGCAAAGTCAGAAAGAAGCATTTAAATGTCAACAGGCTGAGGAGCTGAAAACGGGTTCCTGAGACTAAAGTGCTTTTGTGATTCATGCTGAGTACATCTTTTATGATAACTGACAGGATGTTAACATCAATTTGTCGGGTCATTTCGTAAAAAGTCAGTAAATGGCCATTTTATTAAAACAAGATTGTAAAATGTTTCCATTTTATTGTCAAAGTGAACTGTAATTCAAAACTCATTTGACCTTGCAGCTTAAATTGGATTTGAACAAAGGGTTTAATCCACAAGAGATGTAGTTATTCTTAACGTTTAATCTTAAATCGGAGGTGACTGAAATACATGTCAGTAGTATATTGTTAATTCTATAAAAATAAAATATAAAATACATTAACCCTTTGAGCCCACGGCGTGCATTCAGTGGGTGAAACAGAAGATGCAAAGCAAAGGATTCAACGTTTCTCCAATTCAAACAATCCTCATGAGACGGACGTCCTTATTGGGATGGGTTTCAGAAACCAAAATCTAACGATTTGGACCTTTAATCCCATTTTATTTGGTCATGCTAACTGCATGTTCCTCCCTTGTTAGTATGGTTCTCCCCTTTTCTCAGTCTGCCCAGTTTATAAAAGCAGTTTAAATGAATTTAGAAACGGAGGATTCTTCCACTCCTCTGAATTAGGTTTGGTGTTTCGGTAAAACAGAGGAACCCTGTCATGGGTTGGGGTTAGGGTTAGGGTTAGGGTTAGGGTTAGGGTTAGGGTTAGGGTTAGGGTTAATACTTTTAGCTGGACTGGGCACAGATCATGAAGATTGAAGTTCTGGGCTGAAGCTCGGTTAGTAGCTTGCATCCTGTCTGCGTTTAGCTTCGGTATTTTTCATTTTTTGGGATACAAAGAAACTGGACTGTGCTGAATCTGCTTCCATGAGCTGACCGAACAGTTTCCACATTCTAACCCGCTTCCCATTTTTCCTCTCTCCAAAGATCTCTCCCCACCCTTCGGCCTCCACCTCTCCTCACATGGAGCCAAAGCTGCCCCGCCCACTTCCCTCCGGCCTCCCGCTGAGCTCTGAGCCCCCCACCGTCCCGGCCCTGACCACCCCCCCCTCCACAGCCCCCCAGGAACTGTAGCACACGGACTACAAACCCAGAGTTTTTAAAGAAACGTGCAGATTGGCTGAGAAGGACGTGTTTTGGAGAGGAAACAGGAGGCTCAGAACTGATAGCCCAGTGTTAGCGTTTCCTTCTGGGGATGTTTTTGACCTGCAGGCTTATTGAACAAGCATCGAAATGTTACTGCTCCACGTTGTGCTACGAACCACTTGAATATTTTTTTCTTTATACATCCCATTTGATTGACATAAGTGCCTTTTCATCTGATTTCCACAATCATCGCAGCTACGAAAAGAGCAAAGGAATTGTTCATTTCCGTTATTTTCTCACCTCATGCCAGTGATTCCTGCAGTTTATAAAAATGACTATTATTACGAGAACCAACAAGCAAATTTCCAGATATGAAAACATCAAAGTGTGATATTTACGTGGGGAAAAAAAAAGACCTTCAAAAGTTTACTTTGGGGTCGTTCGTAGAGAATTAATGCGAAATTTTAACATAAATCATCCGCTTCACTCAATCGTTTCAAGTTCCCAGATTTTCATTTGATTACTTACTCATTGTAATTAAATCGTAACGAACAAGCATCTGTGCATCCTTGTGGAGAGGTTATTTTTGGTTATCATGTCATAAAACAGCTTGTTTGGGGTTTTTTTTCTTACAGTAAATGGGGCTCATTCAGCAGCCCAGAGGCCCTGTTTAAAATAATAACCAGCAGCACACAGAAAAAACATCAAACCTCCGTTTGAACGTTGGACTTTCACTGTGCATGTCTGTGATTTAGTGTCATCTGTGATGTGCATGGTGGAGTTTTGATCATATTCAGAAAAATGTGTTTTTCAGGACAGCTTAGTGCTTCAGGTGTGTGTCGTGTGCTTTGCTCGGCCGTTTTTAACGTAATGTGTTGCTGTTGTTTTCATTCAGATTGGCAGCTCGATACCTTTAGCCTTTTCAATCATGGTTCCAGCTAGAGCTTTTACATGGTAAATATCACACGACGTTTTAGGGTCACGATCATGCCGCAGCCACAGTAAATATTTGTTTATGACTGGCTGGTGGATGCATTTTAATCTAGACTTCTGATCGGCTGTATCACCAACACAGGTAACCATAGCAACAATGATACGGGCCATATTACAACTTAACACCGGAGAAATGGATCCAAACTTCCAATCTTGAATGGTTGAAACTGAATAAGCTTATCTATTTGTGCCTGTTACATTAGTGATTTAATACTTATGTGTTGCTTGTTCTCTCTTCTTAAAAACGAACAATATGTGCACAGTAACTATTAAAACTGAATAAGAAATTAATTTAAAAGACCCTAAAGATGATTGAAAAAGGCACAAAAACAGGACTGGTTGATTACATATTGTATATTTGAATAAATGTGAGTTTTCTTTTGCACTGGGTAAATGTGACTGGTGATTAATTGGAAATAATAGAGTCAGTGCAAGAAAAAAGATGAATATTTACAAGTAAGTGTGTTGGATATTCTAACAATGTTGTTAATATGTGTCTGTGTTTCATGTCTGTTTTGTTTCTTTGGAATAAAATGGTGTAATTAATATTGAATTACTACTTTCTATCACTAAAAAACATCATCTGCTAAACGTCTGAAACTGTGAGTCTGTGAAATCATAATTTCCTGCTAAGAATCAGTGTTACTCTGGGATTTTAGATGGCACACATAATTTTCTTAGCATTCCTACATCCTGTATATATATTCCTCACAATTAACAATTAACTATTAATTAGGTCAAATTCCACCAAAAAAAACATGGTTTTGTCTACATGTAACCCATAACTTTTTGAGGAACCAAACTCAAGTTGTTAGAAAAAAAAAGG